AAGTGCGATTCATTTAAGATTGCGTGGAGCTAATCTGTCTGCTACTATCTCACAGGCGTACTAAATAAGTGCTGTGAGACATAGTCATTGAAAGCAGAAGATATGAAAAGGCTAGCTGCCTTTGACGATTAGCACTTTCATTCTATCTCCAGTGTTAAACGGTATTAAAGTTAGGCATACAGTGTTAGGTAAGGAGGGTAAGTTAATAGATGAGGTTATGAAGTTACATAGATTGAGATGGCCGGGACAGGTACTGAGCATGTAAGGCCATTGCTCTCCTCGATAAGCAATATTAGCTGAAACAGGATTAGATTGAAAAATAGTTAGAGGTGGTGAAACCAAAACCTGACATCTAACCCTGAAATCTTTGACAGTTGCACTAGGCTAAATAGTGAGGTGTAGACTACATGGTTAGAGTCCTGTGGTTGTTAAGATCCAATGGCTGGAGACTTTTGATGATATATGGCTCAAAAATGTTCTCAGTGGCGCAGATACATCCACTCTTTGTGATTTTTCAAATCCATTACAGCTTCATGCTTTTCCATGTTACTATTCTTTCCACTGCATATTTCTGCCCATTAAAGTTCTTTTGAGTTTCCTTTTTACTCTGTTTTGTCCACCACTGTATGCTACATGGAGTATGGCAACTTGAACTGGTGCAGTTCTGTGCAAACTCCTATGGTGAAACTCAGTCACTGTATCAGTTAGTCTTTCAATCAGTCAATAATCAATTGAGCTTCATTTATTTACTATCTGCTTAGTGGTGTCTTACAGTTAAATTTAGAATGCTCTTTTCGTCAATTTCGATTTTTCTTCTCTAATCGATATCACTTCGTCATCAAACTCGAATGGAGTCGAATCCCTACAAAATGACACTTTAAAATTCGGAAACCTTTGGTCGAAATCCTGCCGCTACCGAGATTTCATTTCACCTTCAGCTTTCAGTCACTGTATGAGTAACAGTCTGCCAGCTAGAGACCATCTCACCTTCAAAACAGTATACTTTAATTTTTGAAATGTCCACATGCTATGAGTCAGTGATAAAAGTTATATTTTGAGAAATTTTCTGTCATCTACTTGCAAAGAAGCGAAAAATATGTTGATTATTTCTTCAAGTATGTATACTGTGAATGAATAATTATTTCATTCTGTGGAGTTACTACTATACAGAAAGTAATCCAAATCCACTGTGTTTTATGCTATACAAACTGTAAACTATGTAGTGTATTTAATCTCTTTAATTAAATCAGGTTTGCGGTATAGCCACCGTGCCAGGGTCCCGTCAGCACTATGTCCGTATCCTTCAACAATCTAACAACAGTGTTTCATGATGTCAAGCCACCTAGCACCATAGCTACATTGAAAACCTGACTGATAGAATTCAGTTTGTACCAAAAAGTCGAAAGACTAGGCGCATGACAGTAGTTACCACACAGTGTGTAATTAAACTATCCACTACAGTCCTACAAGAGGTCAGTCGCGAGTCTGAATAACTCATTGATAACGGCTGAGACATTACCAATGGATAACCTGGGTTCTAATCTTATAAGGGACATCAATTCCCTCAAGATATGCCTTGTTGATGAGTATCAACAATTACAAAACTCAGTTCCAAGGCTCTCTAGTGACTGAATTCCAACCATCTAACTTTTTTTCATATGTCAGAATTTGTTTAACCTACATTTTCCAGCATTTATAACAAATATTAAGGAGTAGACAGTGACAAAAAACTAGTCATTCTTTTTTTTAAAAAAAACTAATTTCATAATGTAGTAGTTTCGTATTTTTTTTGTTTGTATTATTCGTTTACATAAAACGACAAATCAGCTTCTTTATAACTTTATACTGAAATTTAGCTGTTTCAACTCTATCTCCAAAGTTCATTTGTCTCCTAAGTCGGTATTTTATATTTTCTTGTTTAAATAAATAAATAAATACGATTTTATGCCTTGTCTCAATGAACTTGACAGATGAAGATATTAGAAAACACGACAGACAAACTAACCAAAATAAATAAATAAATAGTAGTAATCAAAACGATAAACAATTTAAAATTTATACATTACGCTTTTATTCAAGTACTAGTGAATACTACTTAAATGTGTGTGTTTTTGTGTGTGTGTGTGTGTGTATAAATGTGCATATATATATAGGCATAACAGTCTGTGTAGTTAAATATTTCATACTTCAAAAACTCAAAGTAATGTTTTGAGTTTGAATTTATATTCTGTTGTATTCATCAGCAGTATAATAAATCGACAAATAATGCTAAATACTATTTAAATAGTATTTTGCATTATTTTACACATAAGCTATTTTGGTCAATGAAAAGTAAAATTGCATAATAATCACTTTACTATGAAGTCAGTTGGTTGATAGTGACTAGCAGTGGAATTCAGGATGCGCGTTTCGGTGAGAACACCATCACTCACAGGGGAATGCAGGCATATCCAGCTGACGGATGAGTCCCAAATGGGACGAAACGCATATCGTCGACTCCACTGCTAGTCACCATCAGCTAGTTGACTTCAATCTACATGAGCAGACATCGTCGAAGAACCTGCACAAGGAACCGACATGTCAGCCTGACACCGAGCACTTTGGTTCAATCAATCGAATCGGAAATCTAAACCGAATTAAATACACTTTATTATTTTAAAATTTAATTCATTCTTCTGTGTTGCGAGTAGAACATTTGATTTCAAGTTTCAACTCTAAAGTACTATTAACAGTGGCGTTGTTTCTATCAGGTGGGATTGTTAGCTTCACACGCCTAACCATCCCTTGCTTCAGGATTTACTACCAGGTAAGCTAAGTCTAGGAGTGAGTTGGTCAGAAGTAGAACCTGAGCCACCGTATGGCTTGCCAATATTGCAATACTAAACCAAAGACGCGGTTTAGAATTACTGACCATTTTCTGTAACAGAATAGTTGTGAAAACTGTGAAATTATTCCTATTTATGTATGATAATGTAAGGCTAAATACTTGTCCAATCTGATCAGTTTTACATTTCTATACAGTGAAGTAAGGTTAACGAGATATTCCGTAGTGATAAACCAGATGGATTAGATTAGAAATGACGAAACAAGGAAGGCAATCAAAGCCATGACGAAAAAAATATCTAGAGAATAGACGTGCTCACATCTCTGAATCTCATTTTAGTCGACGAAGCATCAACATAAAGTACTCATCCTGAATTACACTACTGAGAGTAATGAGTTGTACAACTACAACAAACCTCAACCTGATCTGATTTCCGTTAACCATAAGCTGGTGTACATAAGCTAAACATTTTTTTCATTATTCTTTGTCTTTTAAACTGTGAAAGAATAATCTAAAAGGATTGCCTCCAACCACCTAATACCAACAATTCATAGTGCACCGTAATGGCAAGCCACCTAGCATGGTGGCCACATTGCAAGCATGACTGATAGAATTCAGTCTGCACCGAAGATAGGACTAGACGCATTACACTAGTTACTGACTAGTGCGCAATCAAAAATATCCACTACAGTCCTACAGGAGGTCAATCGAGAGCCCGAATAGCTAACTGGTAACGTCTCTGACTGCAGCACTGGGTGACACGAGTTCGAATCTCAGAAGGGACATGAGTTCCTTCAAGGTTGCAGATACGCCTTGCTGACTGATGAGTGCCAACTAGCACGAAACCTATGTCGAAGGCTTCCTGCCGATTGCCTCCAACCACCTAATACCAACAAAAGGATATTCATAAGAAATCTTAAAAAACACGGGACTTTCATTATTCAACAACATGAGTTAAAACTGCTGTGTTTTCAAGTCCCGGATGCTGGTGTCTTTTATCATTCCATAGACAGAATCACAGATTTCAGACCATGCATATTTCATCAACATATACTTTGGTTTCAAAGTGGATAGCTGTTGAGAACAATTAATAAAAACGTTAAGATGTAGCTAATTGGTTCAAACGCTGTTTCTATTCATCTGTTCTTAGATTATTGATATATTACTGTAAACTTCAAGTAACTTTTACTTCTTGATTGGTTTATCTGGTTTTACGGTACTGATGTACTTTCAGAGAGTTAATAAATCTGTTTGAAGTCGCATGACGACTTTACCGAGCAGTGTTAGGAAAGAAAAGCTTCTTTGTTAGCCATGAAGTTATGATTTTTGCACATGCTGACATGATAAGCTTATTGGACAGTTCTGATTCGTTTATTTATGGCTTAATCTTCTGAGGTTCTGTAAATATAATGCGACATGTATTTGTCCGATAGAGGTTGTTACGATTTTTGCAGTAGTAGTAGTGTGGTGAGAGCTGTCTACTAGCCAAATTGGTAGACAGTAATTTACGTCAATATTTACGTACCCAAGATTTGTCGTGAGAAAATGTGAACAAAGATTGATTCAAAACCGACCACAGCAGACTTTGCGTAGGCGGATGCAGTTAACATATAGAGGATTTGATATTCAAGAAACAGTCACAAATAGATGAAAGATTAACTTTACGTGAGAAACAACCAATCGGAAGACTGTGTTTGTTTACTTAAATATCCATAGTAATGTACATGGAAATATATAAATATGCGTTGATTTCCTTAATAAATAATCTGTTGCCTGACCCTTGCCTTCTGTTGTTACAGTAGTTGTTGTTGTTGTTTGAGTCATCGTTTCTCTCGGCCTGATTAACCTGTCTGTCTCAATGTCTGGAATATTTTGAAGTAATCAATTGGTTATAGTCTCCTTTTTTGGAGGCACATTTTTGTCAAGCTGGATGAACTAACAACTCAGGATCACTCCACCATAATACATTTTGGCGACTAGATCATAATAATTGACAACATACAGGAAAATCTAGTAAAATTCAGAATATTTACAGTAGTTCGCTAGAATATCGGCTGATTACAGCTATACATTTTTCAGTAATAAAAGCGTGGGTACATGTGTGTATTTCCCCTGAAATAAACTGTTTACATACTTCAAAAGCTTTTTTCTTTATTTCTCATTTCTTTTAATATAGGTCATGTTGAGGGACTTTCTGGAGCATTCGATAATTCTAACTGGAGTCCAGGAGCAGTGACAAAAGCTTTCTATGTTGGGCTGTTTGCTTACTCTGGATGGAACTACTTGAATTGTATGATTGAAGAAATGAATAACCCTCGTCGTGATTTACCACTCGCTATAATTATTTCTTGTCTACTTGTAACATTTATTTACACAATGGCGAATGTAGCTTATGTTACTGTGGTGTCACCTCATGAAATACTTACTACACCAGCCGTAGCTATTGTAAGTTGTAATGCAAAGTATTATATACCCTCACTTATATTCTAGTCTGTATTTGTCTCATTAACTTCTTTAAGCATTTTGCCTCAAAGTAAGGCGACTGCACACGTAATTTTCAGGCCATGTATTTAAAATGGCATGAAGTTATTAAATAGTAGTAAGGTATTTCATCAAGGATTGTTATTGATTTCTTTGCTTATTCTCGTCATAAGAATGTAGGTTTTTAAGATTCTGGCATTTTCATTGTTCTACCATATTACTCTTTCGTGTGTAATCCCTTTGCTATATATGTAAACATCATCTTCAGAGTACGCCTTAACTGAGGTTCAATTCCTTCTGAAAACTATGCAGACCGCCTCATATATGATAACTAACGGTCATCTGCAAGTATACACTCAATGATCAGAAACTTTATGCGAAGTTTATAGGGAGGACTTCAAATGTTTATCAATTATATCTTGAAACATTAGACGGTGTGGTACAGCCAGTAGTGAAGATGCCTTTTACTCGGATACTATTCACGTAGTCTATCAGCTGCCACCAAATCGAACTGTTTTCGGATAGCAGAAGCAAATAATTAGTAGCTAGTACTTCACTCCGATGACTTAGCTAGCTAAATTTTTGAAGTCAGTTTGAAACCCTCACAAACTGCACAAGACTTTATCACTGTAGACTATACTGTATGTGTGAATCCGCTACAAAATTTATAATTTTATGCCAAACTTTATATGTTCATGCTTTTCAGCTGATCCAAACTTCTGTTAGCATGTTCGACTAACAAGCACCTTCTTAACATAAGACCTTTATTTATCGTATGACGACCTAATATCAGTATCAATTTTCACTGTGTAATTAACTGAACACCTCAGTGGAATAAATGGTTGTGGATGACCTTTTTCATCCTCTTGTCGTTCAGTTATGCTTTTCATTGTCTACTAACTGAGATTTTAGACCGATAGTGGAGAATCGTGGACTATTTATTTACCAGTAGTTAATCAACTTATTGTAAGAATCTTCCTTTTCAGTACAACAAATTTAAGGATTAAAATACTGTAAGATCGTTATGCGATAGTCATTCTAGTCACACAGTATTATTTGCTGAATAGAACTTCTTAGTATTTGATAATGCATTACCACGTGCCTAATCACATAAATATCTTGAATTATATTCCACTTCAACATGTACTATACTCCAAAGCAGTTATTTGATGTAATATTTAAGATATTTATTATCACTACTATTCCCTTGGGTTCTGAGTGGGAAATACGACTTCAACAACACAACTCTATTCCACCCTGTTCTTGAAAGTCTTCTTAAGCCGTCTCTAATAATGCCTATAATCTTTCATCTCCTTCTCACACGATCTCCTTCATGTCGCCCTCGGACCCACACCCAGCCCGTCATTTGCCATTCGAATTCGATTCTGGGGCCTGGCGCGCGGTGTCATCCATCTTCATCTCCTGTTATGCAACAGGTTGTTGGTTGGTTCACTTTCACAGTTCCCTGATGCTTATCCAACCCCAGCCAAGACAGGGGTTAGTGAGAGTATTGCGCAGTCTATTCGAAATGCTTTTGGTTACGTGCAGTACAAGTCTCTGAACCATACAGAAGAAGTGACTTGTCATTGGTGTTGAAAGTCATAATCTTGTTGTTTATGTTGAGTGCAGAAGATTTCCAAACCGATTTCAGATTGATGAAAGTGTGTCTTGCCTTTCCGATTCTGGCTGGCTTTGACATCTTCATCCCTTCCGCCAGCTGTGGTTTAAACAGTACTTCCTATATAAGTAAAGGAAGTAACCTCTGTTAAATCTCCCCCAATGATGGTGATTGGTGCTCGTTGTTGCTGTTGCTGTTGGTTGGTTATCTTCATCACCTCCGTTTTCTCTATGTTCACCTGGAGTTCCACCTTCACCATCGGATTCTTCGGCCAGTTTGTTGGTTTTCGCCTGTGAGTCTTCAAGTTTGTGTGACATTAAACATAAATCGTCCACGAAATCCAGATTTGCTAGAGTCTTCTTATCAGTCCAGAGTATTCCTGTCTTCCCGCTCCAAAAGGTGTGCTGCATGATCAGTCCACCACAATCATCGGTATAGTAGGTAGCCATGTCTTACTCCTGTCTTCACTTCACTTTAAAATATACCGAAATGCAAAAATATAAGCTATTCGTTTGAAATGTTCTATATACTAAGCTTTTTAATAGGAAGGTAGTTGTTACATAATCTTCATGTTCCCGGAAAACGTTAGAATGGTTGTCGAAAGTAACAAAAATCCATGAAATAGACCAGTCTACTTGAGAAACAAAGATAAGCTTGATATATAATATTCTGAAGCTTCCCAAAGTAATTACTGACTGTGTATTACTTTGAAACATTTTATTTGTTAATAAAGTTGTCCATTCCTTTTTCTTTTAATTCCTACAGACCTTCGCTGTGCGAATTTATGGTGTCATGTGGTGGATTATGCCTGTATTTGTCGCTCTATCTACATTTGGTGGAGTCAATGGAACTGTAATGACTACATCAAGAATGTTTTTTGCTGCAAGTCAAGTAAATCAAATGCCGAAATTTTTGTGCTTTTTGCATGTGGATAGAATGACACCTATAACAGCTGTTATATTCACGGTAAGTGACATTGTGACACTTTTTTTCATTCCTTCGCTTCTTGGACCTTAGGCTTGGACTCTAGAGTTTCAGTAGCAGTAATTTTTATATGGGTTGGGGGTTGCCAGCTTCACGACAAACTTTCTCTCTTTACATGGCTTACTGCCGGCTAAGCGAGGTTTAGTAATGCGTCGGGGGCGGGGTATCGAACTCAGACAACTTAAACGGTTGGCAAGCATTCTTTCCAACGCACAAAACAACAACTACTACTACATACATGACCTGAGCTTCTTTTAAGTTAATGAAGGGATTTTTCTGTTTAATCAACTCGGTAGTTAGGCGTATGACATTTTCATCATCATTTCAGTAGGATCAAACACATTAACGATTACAATATGAAATAAATACATTTCAGTGTAGATTTCGTCATAAGCCAATATCAGTTAGACAGTCGCTAAGAACTAGGGATCACCAAACAGCTGTATCGTCCTAGTTTTGAACACTTCAGTGGTGTGTACTAGTTACGCCGCCAGGGACTGAATCGGGGATCTTCAGGTTACAAGGCGAGCTGGTTGACCATACAGTCACTTAAGCCGAAAGTCAATGACCCGTGAATTCTAACTTTTCTCTTAATGAATCTTATTTATTATTTATGACTTCATGTCTTTAGGTGTATAAGTAAAACTTGCATTTTAGATTGTACTATCAACCATAACCAAACATACAAATATACAATTAATCACCGGCAGTTCTTAAAATTCTGTGCAGTTAACCTACATTCTAATAGACAATAGTCATTGTAGAGATGTAAGCCAATAACGGGAAAGGTCAAACGCTTCAATAACACTTTTTAAAAGTTTATTTACATGACGAAAAGCTAAGCAGACATGTGTATAGTTCACTTATAATATTACATGAGTATTGAACTTTACAGACAATGTTATTTCCTCGCGATTAGAATGTATTAATCATCTGTAATGATGATGACATTCAAATTAGTCTAATTAATGCCAAATTTTTCAGAACATTTTAAAATAAATAAACAATTTTTACTTACTCTTCTCTTATTTATTTGTAATGATTTTAGTGTCTAACATCATTATGTTATTTGTTTGTTGGTGATATCTATTCCTTGATAACATATCTTGGATTTGTACAATGGCTTGCTATTGGTTTATGCGTATTAATTGTACCTGTGTTTAGAGTGACTAGACGAAATCAACCACGTCCTGTGAGGGTAAGTTTTCTTTATTCATAATAATAGTTAAAATGTATGTGGAAAGGTGGATAAGACAGAAATCTTCATTATGTTCACTGTCTACCTGCATACTGAGTAAAATAAAATAATTTATTTAATATCTATGAGTTTGACCACCGATTGATGTCAGTTAGAGAACCATTGAAAACCAGGCAGTACTGGACAGCTGTTTCCTCCGTCCTAGTTTGGGAATCATCGGCAGTATGTACCCACCGCCGGGGTTCGAACCTAGGACCTTACAAGGCAAGCTCATATACCATTCAGCCACTGGGACCCGATTCAATGGCCCATGCATTTTCAATGGTTCTCTAGCTGATATCAATCCGTGTTCAAACTCGAAAAAACTAAATATAATCCGTATAAACCAACTCTTAATATTTATGCCCGATTAAGAAAAATCCTAAAAGATTTACTTCAAAAAAGGTGTCAAGGTGAATTTTAATGTTTATACTTCACTTACAAAGAAAGTTATTAAAGTAGCTGTTGTGTCATGAAGGACAGTCATCAGAAAGAACGACTTTTGGTTGAACAGCTAGCTAGCTACCTCTAAAATGAAACCTACAGTCATCACAGCTTCTTAAAAATTGTTTTACTGAGTTTTATACTAATCCTGGAAGCCGTTTTCCCAACAACTTTCAGCTTCAAATGAGAAAACTGTGAATCGCTAAGTTTTTTTCCAAATATTTGATGGAGTTCAGAGTTGTGCAGCTTATGTTTCGCACTTATGAAAATCAAATGGATGAATTTGGATTATTTAGATTTATCATTCAGTTTACCGCTAGAATTTTTAGGGATACATTATTTAGCGCCTATATTTTATCCATATAGTAATTAAAATCCACCCTCTTTGTCATGAATTTTGATAAAGGCGCCTAACCATCAAAGTTTGATTGGTTATAAGCTCAGAATGATACTGATACTTGATAAGGATGAAGAAGGCCAGTGGGAGATTATCGCTACAATTCTGCATTATTGCGGATATATGTACGCATACGACTGAACAGGTGTAAAGGACAAGCAACTGCGAATCAAAAAACATGTCCAGCCTTTGATAAGAATACGATATCTTTATTTATAGAAGAGACAACTACACATATACTGAGGAAGCCAAACATCATATCCTGTTTGCTATTCAAACAATTGTAAAGAATGTTGATAGTCTGCAGCCGAAGGTTGACAAATGCCAGTGCATTTCTACAGCTTCATCCGAACTGATAGATTTAAGAATACTAATGCGGTGGGCTGTAAACATGATGAGGAGTAAAAGCTCCTCGAACATAAATTGACTAAACATCTTCAAAAGACTGAAAGGGGTGATGGACGACATAGACAGAGGAAATGGAATAGGTGATACCCGTCACTTATTTGAGCTGTAAAACACGCTTCGTAACTGAAATGATCTCCAAGATGGTTGGAACTTAAATAACGCGGAAAGGACTGCTGGAACTAATAGAAATGTGGAACTTGGCCACTGTGGTAGTATGTGTTTCCATTCTGTTCGAAACGTTATCCAGTAACTGAGACTGCTGGGAAGTTGGAAATGACATCTTAAGGAACAATTTAAGTGGCTTACAGCTACACAACAGCTGTTCACCACCCAAACCATACCTGAATGAATGGGAAGTACTCTTGTAAAAAATCCTACTCTGACAATTCACTTAAGGCAATTTACGAAAGTGGTATGACATCAGTCGCATCCTCTTGTATTTAATAAATAACGTTTATTTCTGTTTGTTTCAGGCACCCATCTTATTCCCGATAATATTTGTGTCGGTAACTCTATTTTTGGTAATTTTTGCATTCGTAGCAGCACCAACAGAATCTTGTGAGTATATGTTGTTTTCTTAAATTTAAGTTAACTATTTACCAAATTTCATTATCTTGAGTATATAAGGCTAGGGATATTTTTCTTATCAATAACCTGCATTCTAGTCTATGCGTAATGCCTCATTATTCTGTATATTCAGTCAGTTTTATATTCACAGTTTTAAGTTAGCATTTCACAAGTGAGTGCCATCCGGAAGACCTAGCATAATTGTGGAAATACTAATTACCTATTTTATATCAGTTTTATAATTCTCAATAGTACACAGTAATAAATTTACACAAGATACAGCATGTAATTTTTGGGGTTCGAGTTGAATATAGTCTTTTTTGAGCCACAAATTTAGGGAACAATCATCAATAAGAATTGTCAGCCTACTATAGAAATTTCTCAGCTTAGAAGACAGGGCTATATAAAACCTTAAGAAAGGATATATCAGCCATAAAATGATAGTAAAATGTAGAGTAATGTCATGAAGGACAAAGAGAAATGTGAAAAAGGAGAATATTTCAATGAAGATAGTACTTGACAGGAATGAAGTTTATGCCAGCTTTCAATAAAAGATGTTTCAAAACTCCATTCATTTTTCAGACGTTCTTTTTCCACGAGAATGTAAATCAAATACCTCCGTTTATGAAAGTATATCATTTACTGGAATTGATCACAGCAGCTTTTTCCTGTACAATTATTATAAGATTATATGAAAGCAGTGAAAGTGATCATTAGTGATGGACATCATTAGCTGTCGTTACTTCGGATGATAAGTCTTCGTCATCTGTTACACAACTCCATGAATTTTAGTGGAGTCTTTATGGCAGATAGTTTCATAGAAGCTCTAGGATTAAAGAAGTAGTGATACACGCTTTGATGAGATAATATAAGACACAACGGAGAAATAATACACTGTTTGCTGATGATTTGCTTTGGGATAAGTCTTTTGAAATTTCCTATGGAAACCCAGTTCATTATGATGTTATTCATATCAGGTGTGAAAACAGTTGTTAACTTATTTGGCGATTTTAAGCCCTCCTGTAAGAACTCTGGCATTTTCAAAATGAAGCCACTCCCTCGTGATTATTTAGTTCATGTTTGGATAAAAAGGACGCAAACTCCCCTAAGACATGGGACTGCGGTGTTGCTACATTATGAGTCAGTCGCATTTTTAGTTTCTGGGCCAACAGATAACAAACCATTGATTAAATACAATATTACCATCCTTGTGATCCAAAGGTCACAGATTCTCCTGTTTTTGGTGTCTACTGCGCTGAAAAATCACAGACTCCAATGAAATAGCTATACACTGTTGTCTGATTTTCAATGGTCGATGTCAGTTCGCAACGAAATTCAACTTAAAATTATTCAATGAACAAAAATAATATCATACTTTATGTCAAATACAACTGTTTGTAAATTTTCACTTTTAAGATGTGGAAACTTTTATTACAGACGAAGTTTAAGAAATCTTTACAAATTAGAATTTTAAAAATTGTAAAGTTTCTTGCTGCATTTTCCATATTCATTATATGAATTGTAGCTGGAACAGTAAGGGCTTTCGCTTTTCTGAAGATGAAGATTTTATAGCGGTTCACTCAGGAAGGAGATACCTCCTACTTTGGCTATCAACTTGTATTTCCACCTATAGTCAGCCTTCATGTTACCTTTATATAGTATTTATTAACACTTGCTCAGTCTCAAGCAAGATTTTCTTCTCTGCATCTTATGGATTGTTTAAATATGTCTAGTCGATTTTTATTTCAATGAAAAGTTTGAAGACTGAATAGTGTGTCAGCATTTCTAACAAATGATGAGTTACTCCATAAGGTTTGGCTTTAAAATAATCTGTGTTAAATCATAGCAGATTAGCTGTAAAGATGTCTTATTTATGCTATTTGGTGGTGACAAGCAGTGGAATCTATAGTGTGCATTTCGTCCTATTTGGAACTCGTCACCTGGGTACAGCGGCCATTCCCAGTGGGACTCATTGCACAAGAGATGGTTCTCGTGGTTCAAGTGATCTAGTATATAATACTTTACCCTTTGAAACGAAAGGCGCTGGGTTCGAGTCACAATGGGCACACCACCACTCACTGGAGATCGCAGGTAAATTCAGATGATGAGTCTCAAGTGGGACGAAATATGCATCCTGGATTCCACCTCCAGTTACCATCCACCAAATAACATTACTGTTAATCCTGAGCCGTCGTCGAAGCGTCCGTACTAAAAGCCGATATGGTAACAGAAGCCGGACATTTCCGATCAATCAATCAACGGGAGAAATAAAAAATTGTTTAAATAAAGTAGTGTTTTATTTATTTTTCACTTCAGAGATAGATTTATTTTTCTAAATTCTAACATTCCTGTGTGTTTTTAAATTCCAGTATTCGGTTTAGCCATAATTTGTACTGGTATACCAGTCTACATAATTGGATGTGTATGGAAGAATAAACCACAGTCATTCCAAAGAAAGTTTAGTAAGTTATAATTCTGTTCTGTTTCGTGAGTTCAATGTAACTAACTTTTATATTACTCGTAATTAGACCTTTTAGTGTGTTGAACAAGGTAATTTACCGAAATATTCTCTAGATAACGGTAATAGTGTAATAATAATAATATATTCTCATTTTTTTGTACATGAGGGACGCCAGTTTACAGGCATCATCAATATGATAAATTACGTATACAGTTATGCGAATGGACGGAAGTTACAAGTGATGGATTACTGATTTCCATCCCAGTGGCTGGATAGCCAACCAGGTCGCTTCGTTACATGAAAATCATGTGTTCAGTCCCACAGTGGTGGCGTCATGGTTATGTACTGATAAAGGGTCCTTAACTAGGACAAAACAGCCGTCAAGTACCTCCTGGCTTTTATTGGTTCTCTAAATGAAGTCCGTTCGTGACCAAACTTGAAATATTTTCCTGGTAAGGTCATCTGATAGCTAGTCAGTCAATAAGCGTAAAGCATATTAGCTAGTAGAACATTTTCCCAAGACTGATGTGCTTATAGCGAAGGCTAATGGCGCCATAGTTTGAAGTGTCACGAACTTCAAATAATTTTTAGTAGTGTGTTATCAAAAGTTCTCTTCAGCGGTACAAGGCAGTGATGCGTTAATTTTGAACTGATTGACACTCACTAGTATAATATGTACATCCTTAACTCTCATGCCAATAATTTCTAATAAAAATACTATAAATGTTTTATTTTTATTTATTTATTTTTTTTCAGAGTCTTTTACTATTGGAGTGCAAAAGTTGTTTAAAGTTGTACCAACGGATTAAATTATCAGTCTATGTTATGTAATGAATTTATATCATAACTGTTGGCTGTTATAGTCTGTATAAAAACTGACTATAGTGGAAATTGTACTAGTAATAATCGTAATAATGATAGCAGTAGTAATAGTAGTAGTTATTGTATAATACCATTCCGCAAACAGTATCTTTCAAGGAATTTGTAGTAGAAATAGATAAATAAGTGTACTTTCGAGACTCGAGATGCATAAAAATTATGATTCAGTATTCCTATCAGTGAAGTTCACTATTATGAACCGTTTTAATTCTGATAATTTTGTGTTGGTAGTATTTTTAATTTTTACATTTTCTTTATCCACGCCTTGCAAATATGAATGAAATATTTAACCTTTTATTATTTTTTTTATATGGTTATCATCGTCTTCAAAATCATGAAATTAATTGTTTACTAAATTTGTTTTACTAAATAAGTTTAAGTTTTTGTGTGTGTGTGCATGCGCGCGCGCGTTTGAATTGAATCTTTTTTATACTACTTTTCTATTTGTTTATCTAATTCTTTAATATGAACTTTTATTTTCTTCACTAAAGTTTCATAATTATGAAAAACAATTGTGTTTTTTCTTCTGCCTTTTATTCCTCAGAATACATAAAGTCTTAAGCCTCTCATTGATGAATTTATTATATTACTGTTTTATTTTTTATCACTCCCTTTTCGAATGTAATTCAGGTGATTCATGAAGAGGAGAAAGTTTAAAGTTTTTATTTTATTCATTAGGTGTATACGCTTTGTATCTGCAAGAAAATTGTGTCATAATTAATTGTAATAATATGTGGAATAAAATTTTCTATATCTGAGACAGTTTTGAATTATTTTCCGTTTTTCCGTTCCCACACAGTTTATTGTTTATTGAAGAAGAAGACAGATAATCCAATAGAATTGCAGTGACAGGTGTGACAGTATCCTAAGTTGTGATGAAGTCTAACATGTCATTGAATAATAGCCAACAGATGTGTCCAGTAGATTATTTAGTAGATTTTTCGCCTCATAATCTCAAGACTATGAGTTAGTATAGTTTGAAATTCATGCTTCTGTCCTTTCTCAAAAAATATTAAGTCGTATCATCTAGGAAAGACTGAAAAATGCTTCTGATGCAAAACTTTGCCCGTAACAAGCTGGATTCAGGAAAATCAGATAGATCACTTACGGACTAAATTGCAACGCCATGTATCACGACTGAATAGAGTATCGATTTCGTAAAGGCCTTCCGTAGCGTCGAATATCTACACTGCTCAGTGCCCCGAAATTTAATTGACCTAATTCAACAGCTATATGATTGCGCTACATTCCAAGTGATTCACAAGAGAAAACCCAGTGAAGCTTTTGAAGGGAAGACAAGTGAAAGACAGTTCTGCTTCCTATTACCGATGAAATTCTTACGTGTGGTGGACTGGACCATGCAACAGACCGTGAGGAGCGAAGAGACGGACATACATCGAACCGCTAAGAAAACTCTAGCAGATCTGGACCTCAAGGATGATTTATGCTTAGTGTTACACAAATTCGAAGAATTACGGACGAAAACGGACAAGTTGGCAGAAGAAGAGGTAATGAAGACAGGACTTCAGGTGAACTTAGAGGAGATGGGAGTAATGAAGATACCCAACCAACAGAAAGCAACAATTACAGTCAACAGGTGGAATCTGAGAAAAGACATCACTTTCAATAACCTAGGGAGCAACATTCTAACTACTAGGAGCCTCAAATGTGAACGTCAAAGACAGGATGGGAAAAGCAAAACAATAATTCATGGCAGTGAAGTCAGTGTTGAAACCTACTGCAGTTAGCATAAGAAACCCCGTTAGAATATTTAACGATAATGTAAAATAAGCGCTTTTATGTGGTTCAGAGACCTGGTGCTTGCGTCACAAAATGTATTTACAATAGGATGCAGACTTTCATCAATAGCTACCTTCGCTCCGTACTGAGGCAACAAGGAACTTCAGAAGGCAAAAACCAAACAAGAACCTTTGACCCAACAAATATACAAAAGGAAATGAAGACAGATTAAACATACGCTGATGAGACCGCTAAGTGAAATCATGTGCCAGACAAGCCCTCAAGTGGAAATCAAATAGGAGACGACGAGTTTGGAGTGTGTCCAAGGATGACATGGAGGAGATCGCGTGATGAGAAGGAAATGAAAGCTGATGGGCAGTCGTGGAGCCAGGCATAGAAGACTGCTGAAAAAAGGATGAAACGGAAATGTGCCACTGAAATCCCATATTTCAAAAGAATAATTATAATAAAGTTCAGCAATGGCAGGATAACGATACCATAGGTAGGAGTTGTATGCTATTCTTCGAGATACAAATCTTATGATTTCCCTATTATTCTATCAAATAGTCTCAAAAAACCGCAAATGAATGATACTGGTTTTCACGTATTCTCCGTCAAAAACCTACATTTGCCGGACTCATTGAAAACCATAGAGTGCTACTTTTGAGACTTTTATGCAGTATGAAAACACAGCTATGCACTGATCAGGGGTAAGGATAGCAACTCACATATGACTATGGATAATGGTGCCGCTCTTCAGAGAGTTGGGAGAAGCTGGTAACCGATGGTCACTGAATTATTATTTATCGGCTGAATGGCATTATACTCGTTTCCTAAAATGACAGAAGTTGAGCGGTTATCTTTGAATGCGAGAAAGCAGCTTTGCAATAGTTCTTTGACCAGTGTCGGTTCATGGTGATATATGCTGGAAATCCGTAACTTACATTGCACATTTTCTAATATTTGTATTATCTCAAGATTTAGTTTGTAAGGGTTAGATATGCTTTTCGAATTCGACCACGGCTTGACATCAGTTACCTGTTTCATCCAAGTTCTGGAATCACTGGAAGTACGCACCAACTGGGGTACTACCGATGATCCCAAACTAGGATTTTTATTATAGCTTAAAATTTCATATGAAATTTCTTTACTCACCAGTCTAAATTTAAGAGAGATCAAGTTTTGCCGACATTAACTTCGTCACTTTATGTTTTCAGGCTTCAGATCTGTCTTAAAACAACTGGTAATTATATCCTTAAAATCACTATACATAACATGGATAAAATTTCTTTGCAAGTTTGAAGGCTGTAGGAACTGTCACTCATTTAGATAATATTTACATTTTGCTATGAAAATTACTTTAAAATTTATCAGAATAAAGGCATAAAGTTATGGGTCCATTGTATTCAGTCTTTTTGGAGCAATTTAAATCTATCAGCTGTCCTCAAATGCGATTTATTTAAAGTTCTTATTATCTTCAGGTACCTGTTTCTTTTCATGCTATTATGGCGTAAAGAAGTTTTTATTAGAACGGTTGGTTTTATGATCGAATTCTTTAAGGCCTTAAGTTTGTTATTCACTGGTATCACAAACAAGAATAACGGAAAGATATGGCAAAAAAAAGTATCTTTTAATTGTTTTATACAACTCTTGTAGAGACTAAATGGTAGTGTGAGTCTTGAGTACTTTACACAACTTCCCTTAATAACCGATAATTCTAACATGCAGATGAATTTCTAAATTGTAGACAAGTGCTGAAACCAAAAAGTAAATGTTAAGGCTGCCTAGTATGATGATGAAAAATTCATGAATAAATACTGTACGTCGGGGAATATAAGAAATTATCATGTCTGTTAGATGTTCGGAGGCGTTCACCAGGAAGCTTTGGACATTGGTTTCGTGCTTGTTGACACGCAACATTCAGTAAGGTATATCTGTAATCTTGGACGAACTTGTGTCCCTTCTGAGGTCCGAATCGGACCAGCTAATGTTGCAGTCAGAGATGTTACTACTGAGTTATTTGGTCTCATGACTGACCTCCTGTAGGACTGTAGTGGATGTTTTCTCTGGACACTAGTTAGTAGTCATTTATTTGAAAGTGGCAGTTCTACGTAGCAATGAATTTAGAATGACATCACTTAAGTAAACGATCATCCTATACTAGACTGAAAAGGTACATCAAGTAAAATGCTTATTCGTCGCTTATGTTAACGAAATGTATTGCCTATTAGAATGCACTGATCCCTTGTGTACAGGTATATCTCATACTGTGCTATATTTCCACTTGACAATGATTACATATATGTGCTTACTTTTAAGGTAATTTCATGAGTATTTCAATCTTGTCTGATTCTAAGATGCACTATGAAAGTATACTTCACTTTTGAACAACATTTATTGCAGACAGATGGATGATACTGCCTTGAGTTTTCCATTAGGCCAAATTTCGTCAAATTTTGTTTTCAATACTGGGCATGAAAATGGTCCGTTGAAACAAGTAATGAATAAGATGGATTCCTTTTAAGATCATTAACACATTAAAAAGTTTCACTACTCTTCCATCCGATGAGATACTAAGACACATACACGGATTTCTTAAATAATCGGCAGGGATTCCTTTAAAATGACTTTGAAAATCATTAGGCTGACAAAATTCGGTACTGACAATACCATTAGTCTCAGAATTTTTTTGATTATAGCCTTACTCCACACCGTATTTTTGGTACAAGTATGGAATTTTCAGCATGTGATATCGGTAGCCCAATTGTGCAGGCCGACCATTGATATCAGGTGTGCGTTGGCAGAGGACCGAACCCCGGATAATGTGCATGGTCAGCGAGAGTCCTAACCGCTGTGCCATCGATGCTTGAATACTTAACTAAGTCTTAATACATCGAGAAAATAATTTGCTTCAAACATTTACAAATCTTTAACATTATGAAAAATCACAATATTACTCGTATAAGAATGAAGAGAACCTCTTAAGCTTGATATAATACCGATATCAGCTTCATCTATTTTTGAACTTCGAGTATCACTACTTTGTTGGTTGATAACGAAATGATTCCAATTGATTTCAGCTGGTAATAGTTAACAAAGCACATGAGAATGATAGTTTACATTGTATTTCTCATAACAATAAGAACTGATTAAAAAACATTTGAAAAGAGACAAATAAAAGATTTTATTC